GTCGCGGGCCCGCCCCGGCCGCGCGCGCTTCCCGCCCATCCCAGTGCTGGCACCCCTGGAAGGGCCTTTCGGACGCGTCACTTCCAACTCGTGACCGCGGCTATTGGCTTCAGCTCTCCACAGTTCGCCAGTGTTGTTTTTTTTACCCACTCCCAAACGGATTGAGGTGTTGAAATCACTTTTCTGCCCTAGTAAAAATCTGAGCAACTTTGTTATTGAGTATTCTTGTAAAGCACCAAAATGAGATGTGATGTCCACCCACACTCCGGAACTAATCCGTCCATGCTAGCACCAACTCATTATAGCAAAAGGGTAAAAATTCGTATGTATGTGGATATAGTTTTTAATTCTGCACAACTTCATTGCATCTAATAAACTTGGGAATTTTGTTCCCTCTTAAATGTTTCGGGGTTTTTTCCCAATTGCTTTATACAACTATTTATTGAAGTGCCATTCATCATCAAAAATCATGCTGTGTTAGCAGGGGAAAACATGAATAATAAAACAATCGTTTCGCGTGCATTATCTAGGATGGATGATAAAATAAGTATACACATGCTATAATAAAAGATTAAATATCATGAAGGGTACGAAGTTCAGTCAGCTTCCAAAAAAGGAAAGACAACCCGTCTGGTAGAGGAAGAGAGAGGTCACCTGAAAACACTTGCCAAGAAGGCGCCATTTGATGAGATTCAGGAAAACAAAAAGAAAATTAAATGCCATCGGAGTCTTATCACGACTCCCAAGCCAAAAACCGAACCAGAACCCCCAATAAGAACATAGAACTACCCTGTGGGGTTCTGAGACTGGTGCTTTCGAACCGCCGACCTTTAGAGTCAGCAGACCAAACAACTCAAGAAGCAATCTGGGCTTCACTCTTAAGTCTGGCTTGTAGGTGTAAAAGAACTGGGAGTGGTTAACTCATCTCCTTGCAACCAGTTTCTAGAAGGGAGGAAGCATTCGGAAGGCTTTCAGAAGCAGCTTGTCCTGTGGTAACTTGTCATGTGGGTTGGAATATAATAATGGTTGCCTGGGGACCTCGTGGTTTCTCCTGTAACTTTAAGCGGTAATAGCCAGGTGGCGAACAGCAGTGAATGCGCCCCCATTGTGTCCGATGGCAGGGGGAGGGCCCCCGTGGGAGAGTTCTTTGTAGGGACACAAATGGTTTCCAAAACCAGGGAGGTACTGTCACGTCCTGTGATGGACGAACCTGTGAGCTCCTCACCAACAAGCACAAAGTAGGGAGTTGCAGTGCAGAAATCCTAGTGTCACCCTAGGAGCGTTTGAACTTGAGGGGAACCAGGATGGCTACTCTGATACATGACTGCAGCCTCTTAAGAAACCTTGGTAGCCACTCCCAGGTTTCTAACACAGAAATTACCCGAGAAAAAATACAGACTTAAGCATGTTCCCAAGCACACAGTGAGAAACTGGAGCCTGGTGTTTTGCTCATAAAAGGGAGATTAGAAGAGTCCTTTCCTCAAAACTCAGCTGGATAGTCTGCGGCTAGAGATACTAAGAAGGATTAAAAGGACGTATCAGAGTCCCCAGCTCATGGAGGAGAAAAATCTCTCCCAAAGCATCTGGAAGAAACTGCAATTAATGAAAAGGGAAGAGGAGGAGGATGAAGCTCTCGTTCCCTTCACTTTATC